CTTGGCTCGCAACCAATCACTCGGGTCTGCATTTCTTTGGTGTTCCTGCCACTCTTCTGCTACCATCTGAGCATCGGCGATCTTTGAGCCTTTCTGAAAGCACTCTTCCGCCTTCTTCCGATTGCCAGTAACATTGATCACACCTTTGGGGTCAGGCATCTTTAATTTGAGGTACATGTAGCATGGTCGATCCATAAAACGTGCATAAGCTGGCCTGCCCAAAATAGCGTGATAGGCACTTTGGAAATCCACAACCTCAAATGTCAACTTTTCTTTGCGGAAGTTTTTGGAATAACCAAAAACCACATCAAGAGCAATCTGGCCGAGTGACCCGGCCTTCTTGCCAGGAATGACTCCATAGAAACTCATGTTGCTTGTGCTGAGTTTGGACATCGGAATGCCCATCCCTTTCAGTGTGTCCGCGTACAGTATATTCAAACTACTGCCGCCATCCATCAACACTTTAGTCAGTCGAGTGCCTTCGACGACTGGGTCGACCACCAGAGCTTGCCTCCCAGCGGTGGCTATGTGCATCGGGTGATCATGCTGGTCGAATGTGATGGCCGTCTGAGACCACTTCAGATAATTGGGTGTCGCCAGAGCAACCATATTCACCTCTCGGTTTATAACTTTCAGTCGACTTTTTCTCTCAATGTCAGCAAAAATCACCAGAGTGGAATTGACCTGAGGATATTCCTCGTCACTATCCCCCTTGTCCTCAACTTTGTCTGACTCCTTTTCCTTATCTTTGGACTGTTTCCCTTGGAACTGCTGTATCAAGAGTCGACACTGTCGAGTGGTATGCTTCGGGTAAATGAAATTACCCTCTTCATCTTTCTTCGTGTGGATGTGGCACGGAAAATCCATCACGTCATTTCCTTCTTTATCCTTCACTTTCTTGGGGTTCCAAGGCCCTTTGGGCTTCCCTTTGAACTTTCCTTGATTCACTGCCAAGGCTTCTCTAGGAGCAGCTAGCTCGGCTTTCCGCTTTTGCTTCCTACTGGAGTTCCCTCCTCCGGTTTCCTGGGCGACTGACTTGTGCTTGCCACTCCGGAGCCGGTCCTCTTCCTCACCATTGGCATATTTGGTGGCTATCTCCATCATTCGACTCAGAGACATGTCTCCGGTTCGACCGAATTTCAGGCTTAGCTCTCTGTACTTAACGCCTTCCTTGAAGGCACAGACTGCCTGGTGATCAGATACATTCTCTACCGTGTGATGTAATGTGATCCATCTCTGGATGTAATCTCTCAAAGTCTCATTCGACTTCTGCACACAAGTTTGCAGCTCTGTCAGTCCTGCTGGTCCCTTGCACGTTCCTTCAAACGTTCTGACAAACACTCGGGAAAGATCTTCCCACGTATAAATGCTTCTGGGTGTCAATTGATTCAACCATGCTCTGGCCAATCCCTCCAACATAAGAGGCAGATGTTTCATGGCCACCTCATCATTTCCGCCGCCGATCTGGACAGCCACTCGGTAGTCTTCAAGCCAAGTATCAGGCTTAGACTCGCCATTGAACTTACTGACTCCAGTCGCCAACCTGAAGTTGGGGGGAATCACTGTGGCCCTGATGGCTCTGCTGAAACACTCTGGTCCTGAGACATGCACTCGGCTGCTGGTGGGTACATCTCTGTCGTGACCCTCTCGGTGAGCTCTGTTCCGGTCGACCAGACCTTGAACGATGATGGACCTCGCATCAAAGCCTGGTTCCCTGGGGTCGACTGGGATCCTTCGCCCACCATTGTGCTGGCGTCTATCATCATGTTGTCGAGGTGCGTAGGATCCACCCCTTGGGGGAGGGGTGGACACTCGACGTAGATCATCGTGATCGAATCGGTGATCATACTGCTCACGGTTCTTGTACTTATCGTGCCGGTCTCCACACCCGTCACGCCTCGGGGGCGATCTGGGGCTATGAGCCGAATGGACTACATTCGCAGCCACGGATCTGCTGTGAATCCTATTCCGCGACTGTGATATAGCTGAATTTTGATCTCCTGCTGCTCGGAGCAAATCTCTGATCTGCATCAAGCCTCTGCCAACCTCTGATTGGGAAGGCTGAATTGACTCTGCTATACGGGCTGCAGCTGCTAAATTCTAAATCAGAGTTTGATATACCTGAGTCGATGGTGGAAAGAGCTGACGTTGACTGGAGTCCGAAACCCGTTGCCGTGCACGCTCGTCGAGTGCTCGCTGAAGGTTCTCCAGTCGAGTGCGCTCAGCCAAGTTAGCCAAGCGCGCGTCCTCTAAGGCACGAGCCTCAGGGGTTTTCCAATGATATGAGTGTGAAGTGCATCCATGTTCCGGCGGCGAAGTTCTTACCTTTGCAGCGAAGTGAGGGGCTCGGGGTGATACTCCTCATGGGAACACGACGGTTCGCCCCCGCCGTCGCCTCCGTCGGTGCCGGGAAAACCGGGAGGACCACATGGTCCATCGACCATCAGAACCTCCGCCGCTGGATCACTGCTATCGCACTCGGATGCAGTCTCTGCGGAGCCAGTCGACAGGTCGAACAGGCCGTAGAGAGATTTGTCGGGCTCGATTGCCGCGACTTGGGGGGTGGCCGACTAGCGGGCCACCGCGTGCCTCACCCACCGCTGTAGCCTCGACCATCCAGAGCGCTTGCGCCGGTGGGAAGCAGGGAGGGAGGATGACACAGCGACCGACCGATGCTGGGTCGATAGTTGCCGCAGGAGGACGCCGCGGATGCACGCGCGAAAGTGCGTCGCTTCACGGACTGGGAGCGCGTCGATGTCGAGCGGAGCCACCTGAAGCCAAGCAGAGTCGTCGGCGATGAACGTGAGCGCGCCGAGATGGATCTCGCGGCCCTCGACCAAAACTCCGCCTGAAACCATGATGAAGGAGATCGGAAAAATTGCAACTTCTCCAATAAGTCGCTAAGACACCTGCCCCATGGTGGGCGCCAACTGTCGTGGTTCTAAGTCTGACAGTAATGTAGGGGGGTACTAATGGAGAGGCAATATCTTAGCTATGGAGTAGTTGTACACGCAAGAGTTTTACGAGTTCAGGCCCTTCTCGGAGGAAGTAACAACCCTACGTCTCGGTGCCCGGAGGCGGTCGACTGGATTATACGTGTGTGAGTTACAGGGGTGCGAACCCTTTACACTGAGGAGGGGGGTGGCTTATATAGAGTTCGTCAGACCCCTCCAGCCCTCAGTTATGCAGAGTTTAAAGTACATTAAGACATGGGGTTACTGGTAACGCCCACATAAAGTGCTATGAAGACCATTAAGGCTACTTAATGACAGACCGTTACCCGCAGAGTGACTTTAGATCTCCTGGCCGTCGAGTGATTGGCTTCATGGTCGAGTGACTAGCTTCATGGTCGAGTGTCTTTGCGTTCGTCGAGTGGAACACCTCTAGGTCGACTGACAGGTGGTTTCTTCTAGAGATGTCCTTGGGTAGGGTAGTTTGGACAGGTCCATGACCCTACCCTAGGTACATAACTCATCACTACCTCAAGCCATCAACTAGGGTCTAGGGTGGCTCGGGGTCGATGAAACCACTTAAAGCCATCATTTTGGGTTTTGGTGGCTCGGGATCGACGGAACCACCTAAAGCCATCATTTTGGGTTTTGGTGGCTCGGGGTCGACGGAACCACCTAAAGCCATCATTTTGGGTTTTGGTGGCTCGT